GTTACCGATAAACAGGACTGTGAAAAATCCCTTAAAATTGGCCAAATTGTCTCCCTATTTGTAAAATGGGAGTGGGGGGTAGACTAGCTTGATGGTTTTTAAATTGTGTTCTGAGTTTTCATGGAGCTTTGTTAAGGGTCCCTTACCAGTGGGCATGTTGTGAAGACCTGAAGTGAACAGATCATTCCCACTTCTTCAACCCAAGTAGCAATTCTTTTATCTACCAGTATTCATACACTGTGGCTGAACATAAACTTTCATTTAAGAAAATAAATAAAACTCTGCTGGTAAGATAAATAGATAAATAAATAAATAAATAAATAAATAAATAATCCTTGAAAACCACTAGGTTCCTCTGCTTGGAATGGTTTTTCATCCACTGTTCACCTTGCTAACTTCTATTCATCCTTCAGATATCAGTTTAAATGTCATCTCTTCAGTGAAGCCCTCCCTCACTGACCCACACCCCTGACTAATGATGTGCCCTTCTACTTCCACAGAGCCCTATCATCTCCTCTCAGAGCACCTATCCCAGTTATATTTTATGAATGATATGTTTACTGTCTCTCTTCCAAACCCTAAGCCCTGTGAGGGCAGGGAACAAATCTGCTGCATGCAATAGGTTCAATTACAGGAGACATGCTATAATTTTATGTATTTATGTTTAAGGATAATCAGGTACTTGCCCTGGCTGGTGTGGCTCAGTGGATTGCGTGCCGGCCTGCAAACTGAAAGGCTGCCAGTTTGATTCCCAGTCAGGCACATGCCTGGGGTGTGGCCCAGGTCCCCAGTTGGGGACGCGTGAGAGGCAACCAACCGATGTTTCTCTCCCTCTCTTTCTCCCTCCCTTCCCCTCTCTCTAAAGAAATAAAATCTTTTTTTAAAAAGGTAATAAAAATAATTCTTGCTCTCAACAATTTCATCATCCACAAGGAAGACTGACACATATACAATAAAATATAAAAATGTTATGTGATGAGTGCTGTAACAGAGGTATCCAAAATACTGAAGGAACACAAAAGGGGACTAGCTGCCTTCTGAGGGAAGGAAGGGCTTCAAAGGGGAGATGATATCTGAGCTGCAAAATGAATGAAAAATAGGAGTTGTCAGGTGGAGAGGAAGAAGACCTTCTAAGCAGAAGAAAATTCTGTGCAGAAGACTCGATATTTCTAATCTATAGTTTTCCTTTCTCTTGCAGAGGAAGGAGTGGTGGTGGGATTGGTATCTAGAATGGAACCAGACAAGATTAGTAAAGGAGTGGCATATCTGGTGGGATAGAAATGTCATCCTTAGAAACATACATTATCCTGAAAACAGTGAAGAATATTAAGGATTGTGTGTGTGTGTGTGTGTGTGTACTAATCCAATTTGAACTGAGAAATTTTAATTAATTATTAGTGTTAATTGGCACAAGGAGAGGGAAGCTGCAGGCCAAAGACAAGTTTTCAGGTGCTATTGCTTTAACCCAGTAAGTCATTTAATGGGTGACATCTTGAATTTTTGTTTAAAATGAATTCAAATGGAATAGAAAACATCAGAGATTATCTGACATTGTAAGGGTAAGTTTTACAAAACAATTGTATCAGATACATGTGTGTGTTCTGGATCACAATGTAAAATGCGTTTGTTAGTATGGATCATGGTTTAAAACAAAAACAAAAACCTTTGACTGGTGACTAACCAAATGAAGGGAATGAGGGAGAAGTCAAGGAGGACTCAGGTTTCTGGCGTGGGCATCTGAATAGATCCTAACACCACTGAACAAGACAGGAACAGAGGAAGAGGCCTGCCTTTATCAAGGCCTTGTGGGAATGCCAGATAGCCCAGAGAGCAGCCTCTCTCAACACTTCTCCGCAGCAACGGTCAATACTAATATTGTTCAGCAAAGACAAAGAACACACAGTTATTGCAGCTGCAAGTTCACATGAATACACAACTGATAAGGACCCTCTGGAGGGGTTCCAGTCCTAAATCCCAATACATAGAAAAACTTGGGAACTACAGAGAGCAGACAGAATAAGAGGGAGATCAACACCTTCTCCAGGGAACTAACAGGATGTGAGAAATCCTGCCCCTACTCTAAGAGTTACTCTTGGGAACCCAAGCAAGCTTTCTGGAAAGTCCACTGCCAGGGTATGCCGTTTATTAGGTGGTTTCAGGGGTTTCTGGAGGGGGGGGGGGGACTGGGAATTCTTGCTTCTTTAATGATTGCTTTCTAAACCTGACCACCTCTCCCCCTCACGCTACCGCCTACAGGAGGCATTTCAATCCCTACACGTATCTAGCAAGTCCACTGAGTCCAGTAATATTGAATTCGGCTATCCCTTGATTACCCTCCTTGGAGCTTCAGGCCAACAGAAAAGGGTTAGAAGAACACAGCTTCTCCACAGACTTGGAGTGGATCCATTACTCTTCCTAACATCCCTGTCCCTTAGAAGACAGATGTCTCCATGTCTTCTTGGAGAATCACAGCACAATAGGGTCCCAAATTACTTTTCTGGTGACCTTTCCCAATACAATTCCTCCACAAATCCGCTGAGACACTTCAGACAACTGGCTACCCTTAATTATTCCATATTCTTTCTCCACCCGCCCCATATACCCATCATTCTTTTATTGTGATAAAATATAGAAAACATAAATTTTACCATTTTAGGTGTACAATTTACTGGCATCAATTACATCCACAATGTTATGCAACCATCACCACTATCTATTTTTAAAACTTATCATCACACCAAACAATCCTTTAGCCATTAAGCAGTAACTCCCCATTCCTGTCCACTCTCAGTCCCTGATAACCTCTAATCTACTTTCTGTCTCTATGAATTTGCCAATTTTAGGTACTTCATATAAGTGGAATGATGCAATATTTGTCTTTTTGCATCTAGCTTATTTCACTTTCTGTGTGCTTGTCTATGTTCTGTGTTTTGCTCCTGATATTCTCTCAACCTAAAATGCCCCCTCTTCTCTGACAGAAATTCTCCTCGCCCTTCGTGGTCCATCTCAAATGTGACCTCTACCACACAGGCACTCTTTATCCAACACCTCCCCCCACCCACACACAACGAATACGGATTTAGTCACACCTCCCTGTGCTTTCATGTATCTGCTGGTACCTTGGGCACATCACTTTTTCCGTCGTCATCCATTACAGGCAATTGTATTTTACATCTGTTTTTCACTAGATTAAGTTTCTTGAAGGTGCCCACCACGTCAAATTTCTCTCCAATGCCCCATAATCCTTAACATACAGTAGGTTCTCAACCAGAGTTTGCTGACTCAAACTGAAAAGCTACAGACTCATTTCACTAAAGCCTGTAGATCATGAGGAGTAAGGGAGGCAGGGTGGAGGGGAGATCAAGGGTAGGTTTGAAGCAGACAGCCTCTCTCCTCCCACTTAACTGGTGGTGGTACTCCCCACTCCTCTGAGAAATTAAGCCAACCTCAGCAAGGAAGACTCGGCAGACACGTTTGGAAACGGTGGTCAACTTGAAAGAACTGCAAGTAGTTTCAAGGTTCTCTCAGCTGCTATTAGTCAGGTATTGACCTTGGGATGTGGTCACAGGGATTATGTATTTTATTTTGCCATCCACTCCCTCTAACACTCTGATACCTCTAACTATATGGGCAATAAAGAGTCTTTCATACAGCCTCTGAATATTATCTTTGAGCTCCTCTGGGAACAGCCTAGCCTCTCAACCCTCCCACCTTTCCAGTGAGTAATTCCACAGTGCCACCTCTGCAGTCCTGCCCTCTTAAAAAAGTAGTTTTTCTCTCAGTATATCCAGCTTCCCTCCCTGAAGCTTTTCCTAACCTTTACCATTCAGACAGAAGGTAATTTGCCTTCTCAGCTGTCTGACTAAAAGACATAGCACATTTCAAAGAAATAGGTGGAACTAGTCAAGGTTTTGATAGTTGTAGCTTCCTCTGCGATCCCATAAGCACTACTTACTCAAATTTACTACAGAATTTAGTCGTTCTGATTTATAACTGACCATTTTACATGTCTTATCTCCCTTACTAGACTGCGAGCTTCTTAGAACTTGCTAATTTCCAGCAAACTGCCCAGGACATAGTGTGCACTCAATAAACTACCAGCTTAGAAAAAAACAAAACAAAACATTAAATGAACTGCCACCTTAGGTCCCTTAGTCAATCTTGGTGACTGAGTTCAGAAGAAGAAATATTTCAGAGGTGATCAAAACCAAAAAGTCTTTATATAGTAGTCAGGCCTGTGATGCAAAGCTCAGCTGAAGGCAGTCTCAAACAAGGGTCCTTTTGACAGGGCAACCATTCCCCACGTTCCTTAGGTACTCACTATGGTCAAAGTAGTAAACTTAGTTCTCCAGAATTTACTTTCCCAAGACCTGGCAGTTCAATAAATACATTCCCCAGCCCCCACTTCAATGTCTCTCCTATATCCTCCTGACCTTTAATACTGTGTAACATTAGATGAAAAATTAATTTTTTTGGCTACTTATTTTGCAGCTGAAGAAAAATATACTGTTTAAGGTGTTAAATATTTTTACATGCAACAAACCTGGCATGAATCTAACCTGTATGCACATTTTAGAGGTGCAGGCGTAAATGTCAGTGCTATAATTTGTTATAGGTTTCTGATGACCAGCAATGAAAATGACCACGGATTCTCACGATTCAAACCACTTTTACGTAAATGTGAACTTTCCTAAAACAGCCAAGGGAGAGAACTTTCCATCCAAGCTCATGGAGTCTTTTAGAGATACTGATAGCATTGTTCACTGGGTTAGGTGTTCCTTGAGAAAATCCTACAAATATTAGCTTCTTTCTGGGACTATGCTTTGACCTTTAATAAAAATGTGCTTCAAGACACCAGTTATTCAAATGAAAGGAACAGTTTTTAATACCTGAACAACTTCCACTTCATATAATGAGCCCTGCTGAAGGCTATACGTTTCAAGCTAGCAATGTTTAAAAAAAAAAAAAAATTGGTGACTTCATTTCAGTTGCTCACTTACCAGACATGAAGAAGAGTTATAAGAAACCATGAATTGAATGTATCAGGCATCTGACACCCTAGAAAATAACAATAAAGTATAAATATGCACGGGTTTAGAGGAGAAATATTGACTATCTTTTAATTGTTGGCAGGAATTTGTTCAGCTAAAATATATGGCAGTTACAGTGCCTTCTGATTATACTGTCAGAGTGGGCCAGGGAAACCACAGGGGCAAGACCCCAAGTTGAAAGAATACTAACTGCAGTCAGACAACCAGCTTTTTAGTCCCAGCCCTGTTATCACCTTGCTGTGAAGCCTTGGACAAATCAATTCTCTTCCCTGCGCCTCAGTTTTTTCACTTTATGTAAGGTAGTCAAGATGATCTCTGTGGTTCCTTCCAACTTCCATGTAATTCTGTTCTTTTCCCTTCCTGCTCTCAAATTCTTCTGGAAAATGAAGCAGACAGCACCTTGCCCACCCCACTTAAGGACAGGCTTTTTTCACTTGTACCCCACTGAGAAGTCTAAGTTCTTCTAGTCCCCTTTTCCTGTCTTCTTTCTTTAAGATGACCCAGTGTGTTAATGAATGATTCACCCAAAATAAATAACCAGAAGAAAGAAGCGGGGCTCTAGGGAGCTGTAGCTGAGTAAGAAAGCAGACCATTTCTCACAAAAGGCTGTTTGTCACCTCCGGGAATGACAAAGCGGGGCAGGACTTCTCCTTGGTTTAAGATACCAAAAATCGGTCAGTGCTCAGGCATCCAAGCATCTCAATCACTAAGAAATGCCTCTGGCTGAATGAGGGGTCCCCTACTACATATATTCTCCTTGTTACATGACAGGCAAAAAAGCTGAAGCCAGAGGATAAAGAAAAAAGTGAATCAGTGGGTAGAATCTGTCCTTTAGGGCAATGACTCAAGAAATAAGTAGTATCTTTTGCCTTTCACAAAACAACAAAGTACACAACATACTAAATGATAACAAGTAGGGACCATTAGGAGAGAAAACACAGAGCAGGACCCCTGTGAGATATGTTAGCACACCAGTAATAATAAAGAGCTATAATTCATTGTGGGCTTACTTTGTGCCAAACATTATAATAGGCACTTTACACGCATTGGCTTGATGAGTCCTCCCAACAATCCTATGAAGTGGGTATTGATATTATCCCCACTTGACAGGTGAGAAAACTGACTCTTAGAGGGATCTGCCCAGAGTGTCACAGCTATGAAATGAGACATGTGGGATCAAATTCAGAACTGCTTGGTTCCAGGCACTGTGGTCTTAATTGTCAACTGCCTCTCTAATATCAGAAACTAACATTCACTAAAGGCCCATACTACATGCTAGGTCCACTGCTGATCATGTCAATACATCATCTCACTTAATCCTTACTTTAACCCTGAAGGGAGGCATTAACATTCTCATTCTAGAGATGAGGAAACAGGCTCAAAAAAGTCTAAGTAACTTGTGGGCAGCCACAATATTAACAAGCTAGTAGCTGGGCTGGGGTTTAAGTCTAGTCACGGTGACACCAAAATATTCTGGTGAGCTTACTGGGAGGTGCCCAGCAGCTGTCAAGTGGACTTCCTCTTGGAGCCCAGCAGGAGGGAGGTGAAGGCTGGCCATACAGCTATTAAGACACATGCCATCTGAGAGTGGGCCAACCACCCTCCACCTAGAACAAGAATAGCCATGAGAAACTCTCAAGCCCGGATCTGAAGTTGGGTCTTTTTTGGATGCTAGAACAAAACATTAAAAAGAAAAGTTTTCTTGGAAGTCTGTCTTTCAATCTGGAAAATGAAATTTGGCTGCTTCTAAAGGACAATCTGTTCAATTGCTACCTCTACATCAAAGCTTCTCAGCAGCCTCCAGGAGCCTTTCCAACTTTCTCAGAGAGGGAATCAGTTCTTGGGCTGGAAAGCACAGACAGACAGACAGGCCAGGAACTGGACCTGGGTCACAATTTTCCCTTCTGGGGATCGGCTCAGGACTGAGGATGGGAAAAGAGTTGGCATATGATTGACTCCTTGTACTCACTGGGGTCAAAACAGAAACCCACAAGGTAAAGCGCTGAAAAACAAGACCACTCAATGCTTGTGAGCAACACAAAAACACAGCAGATTCTTTAGCTCAGTGAAATGAGTTTGAACACTTCAAAGTTAAAACCTGCTGTAGAGTCTTTTGCCATAATTATACTCTTGCTCCAATAAACACTCGGTGCATTATTTTCCGAGATGAGGTACTTTCTTCCTCGACACTGAGTTAGATAAAATTCATCGCTGTTACAGGGCAGCAGTACTAACATAGTTGTCTGTTTCAATGCAGGCTCTGGAGTCAAACTGCCTGATTCAAAACCACGACTACCTCTCACTTGCTACGTGACTCTGAATAAAGTTACTTAGCCTCTCAGTACCTCAGTTTCCTTCTCTGAAAAAATGGGGAGAATAATGGGAGGCTAGTTTATAAAATTTTTGTGAGGATTAAATAAGGCCTGTAAAATGCTTGGTAAAATGGTTAATACTTAATAGGTACTCAATAAATATTCACTATTGTTATTCAGTGAGTTATTTAAACACAAGGGGTTAAATTATCTTAGGGAAAAACTCACTAATTATTTAACACTGTGTCAATAAAATGATGAACTCCAGTCATTGATTCATTCATTAAGGAGCCTCCTCTCAAGGAGTTATTTGTTAAGGTCTAGGCCACAAAACAGTCTGTAGACAGCAGTATGGAATTAAACACAAACTTTACTGTTTGGCCACCTCTGATCCAAAGTGCTCTTCAAAACAGAACTGATCTCTGAAAGACCAGTTAGCAAAGTTCACAGAGGATGCACTCATTTATGTACAACAGTGGGCTGCTAAGGTATCTCACCAGTCAGAATCTACCATATCTAGCTCTCTGGATCAAGATCTTTGAAAACTTTGGCTCTGAGATGACAGTCTACTTTGGCATTTTATGGGGGCCTATCCAAGAGGCTGATACACAAGTACACTGTGGGTAAATAATTCATTCTTATATATTCGTCATAAAATAGCACTGGCCTCACTTTTGTTGGAGTGGGGATGAGACTGATAAGCTACCTGAAGTTCTCTGTCCTTTTAAAAAATTACTGAACTCTCAGGACTCTAAAGGTCAAGCCCTAAAATACCAAAACCCAAGGGACCAATGGCCACTTGAAAGGTATAATTTAAGTATATATATTCTCCTCTTTTACCCCAAAACTGTCTGGCCTACTATTTAGAATCTAAGATGAAAAAAAAAGTCAATCTCATTATTTTATAGATACTCTTTATCTGCCTTCAAATGGTACTTTTCAGATTGGCTCCCCTTTTTTATTCACTAGCCAGAGTTTGGAACCTCTCTGGTTTGATTTTAAACATTTTATTTTATTTTTTATTTTAGATAGAGGGGAAGGGAGGGAGCAAGAGAGGGCGAGAAACATCGACATGAGAAAGAAATACCAATTGGTTGCCTTCTGTATGTGTCCTCGGGGATTGAACCTACAACCCAGGCATGTGCCCCAACCAGAAATCGAACCAGTATACTTCTGGTTTCCGGAATGATGTGCAACCAAGTGAGTCACACCAGCCAGAGCTTGGTTTGATTTTAAAATTTAATCTACCCACAAATGACAAAGATGGACCACAATGACCATAATACAAATGAACACTCTATGGCTCTAAAAAGCAATTATCAAATTGAGTCTCAGAAAACCTGGGTCTTAGAAAGCTAGGACAAAGCTCATTGAGATGTACACTTTTTAATATATATATAAACATCAGTTTACTATACTAACAGAACATCTCATAGGCAGTTGTCATTTAAGTATAATAAAATACAAAAATATTAAGATGAATTACAATTTCTAATTTGAAGCTACATTTTCTCACAAATAATATGTTAGAGTGGGAAAATTCCTGGATTTTAAACCAGATGACATAGGGCCAAAGCTGGCCTAACCAAATTTGGACAAGTCACTTAGCCTCTTTAAGTTTCAACTGTTTCTGGGAACAAAACAAAAATGAAAATAAGAATAAAAGCCCTTCCTATCCCACAAGGTTTATTTAACTTCTAATGAAAAAATATAAAAGTATACCATGTAATTGTGAGTTATTAGTATATATGGTAATAATTTTTATAAACTTTTATTTTTATAAGTAGCTTACAACCGATTATAAATCAAAACTTAAATGTCTCATAATTTGCTGTATTAACTCAAGAATCTTCAGTAATGAGGCCTGGCTAAGACAAAGATAACTAGTGAACATCATTTCAAAATAATTATAATAAATTTCTGAGTTATTTATTGAATCAATTAGTAAATAGATGTCTTGAGGATGAGGTTTTAATATCTTATGAAAAATACTTAAGCGCATGGATTCAAGAAACAACTTTTAAAAATCCAGCTTGTGATAGTAATAGTTTCTTCATCAGATAAAGAATCTTTTCCTTTCCAATTAATCTTTCCTAAAATAAGAAACTGTTTGAGATTTAAAGAAAAAAAAAGTTTTCTTTCTTTACTATGAGTGAATAAGAAATGGAAGATGCATACTAAATTAGAATGACAACTTAGTATGATATGTTTAATTTCTAATATTGTATCAATCTGCTGAAATAGTAAAAATAAAATTTGCATTTGGTTTTTTAAAACTAAAATAGTTATTATTAATAACTATTTTTATTTTTAATACAATTAATAATTAATATTTAATGCAATTAAATATAAATATATTAATTAATATATTGAATAATTAAATTTATATTAATATATTAAATCGAAACTGCATCTAGCTTTCTTTATTTTTGTTAACCTATATATATTTATATATTGTATATCAATATTTTCTGCCTGTGAAAAATACCAACTATATATAATTAGGTGTTTGTTGCTTTGAGGATAATGGCTGTTAGCACAGACATTCCTAGCACACACTTCCTTCCCAAATTTGTGGAACTGGAAATGGCTTAAACCTGCCCAATAACTTTACAAGTGTCTGCTTTAATTAAATTTGTTTATAATTACAACAGTTTATAACATCAAAAAGAATACTCTATTCAATCAATGGCTAGCAATGGTCCAAGCCAGCAAAACCCTTTTAGAAAGTAATTTATCAATGGGATAAATTTTAGAGAGAGGGGAAGGGAGGGAGCAAGAGAGGGCAAGAAACATCGACATGAGAAAGAAACTTACTATAAAAATAAGTTTCAATTTATAATCTATTGTAAACTACTTCTAAAAATAAAATTATATGTGCCTTTTGATCCAACAGTCCTTCAACAGAAAAAAGAAAAATCATGAGGCACCTTCCAGGATTAACTAAAACAATTAAAAACTAGAAATAGTCCTGGCCAGGTAGCTCAGCTGGTTAGCACTGTCATGATGCTCCAAGGTTGCAGGGCTAACCCTTGGTCAGGGCACACACAGGAATCAACGAATGAATGCATAAACAAACAAAACAATAAATTGATGTTTCCCTCTCTTTCTCTCTCTCTTTCAAATCAATCAATTAAAAAAAATTTGTTTTAAACTCGAAATAAAAGAGGACCAACTGGCAAAAAGTTCACTTCAACATGCTATAAAACATCTAGAATGTAAGAGGTCTGTTCACATAAGTACATGTTATTATATAAAAAAAAGATGCTTGTGTGGACAAGGGGGCTATTAATGTCAAAGTACTAGATCAGCGATTTTCAACCAGTGTGCTGCAAGAGACACGCTGTTGTGTTGCAAGAATTTTTAAAACATTCAGTACCTGATTATTTAGCCAGGGCACTGACGTTTTTCTTTAGATTGTCAAATTAAAGAAAACGACAATAGACAACACAGCCATCTGATGTGAGTGAATCAAAATTATACCTATTTTTTGATCACTTCAGCAAAAAATGTATTTTTTGGTGTGTGTGCTATAGAATTTCAGTAATTTAGTAATTAGTTTATGAAATGAAAAAGGTTGAAAATCACTGTACTAGACAGATTTTTTTTCCAAACTTGTTAAAATATTTTATTTACAGGGCTCTTCTGGTCTTTGTTTATTCTATTAAAAGAAAATTAGCAGCTTTTATTATACACATTGTGAAGGAAAAATGATTTCACTAGTGACTTTAAAAAATATATCCTATTAAGACACAACCATAAAAATAAAAAGTAAATTCATTTTCCTTTCCAGAACTACCAAAAACAGTAACTTACTTAGAAAGAATTCCTCGAAGTCAGTTTTCTTCACACAGCTAGTATACATGCGTAGTGCCGCAATCTTAATCTTCTAGACAAAGAAAACAAAACCAAACTCAAGACACGGCCAAGTAGATGTTCTATTGCCATCAGACATAGGTCAGAGAACCTTATATTTCTTCAACTAGAAGGAAGAGTCCAAACCTGTCTCTAGGCAATTTAGTAGGTAAACAAACACAAGATATTTTTTTTTACTTTTAAAGCTAGTAATTCATACAGACTTCACACAAGTTTCACATTTTGGGACTTCAGCATGAAAGTGTCAAAAAGGTTTTTCCAATATTTAAGCAAAATCTCTCCTTTAATTCAAGCCCATTTCACTACATGCAAGTCTCTAACCACTGTTTCTCATCAACCACATTAGTTCTTTTTAATCTGAAACCCTTTATTATTAAAAAAAATTGCCCATTCTTCTGACCACAACCAACCAACCAAACAAGCAAACAAAAACCTTAATCCTTCAACCTTTACTCAGAGGCACAACTATCTACTCCGTGAGTCTTCTTTCTCTCTTGGAGGAAAGGTCATTTTTTTCAATATTTCCCTAGTTTTATAGTTACCTGATTAACAGAAGACTGTGTTTATAAATAAGAGCTTCTAATTTAAAAGGTTGAAATGAATTTGTAATGAATGTAAAATACAGTAGGACTGACCTTTACTATTTCCCAAAGCACTATGAATTTTCTTAGAATTTTGATCTGAGCGGTAGTTTTAACTTATTCGCTGAGCTGTAAACTTAAGATTTGTATTTTTTATCATGTACATTATGCCTTAATGAAAATATAGCTAAAAATAAAAAAATAAGTTGAACTGTAGATCTGAAGACCAACTCAGTACTAACTAAATAGGTATTTCTAAGGACTTTCAAAATATTTCCTTAAGGATACAATTAAATAAACTAGCACATCAACAAAAGACTTGTAGAAGTTTATTTATTCTTAAAACACCAGAGAAAATTATAAACTCAAATATGTACAAACTGAAAAAATATATACACAGACTGAGAATGGCATAGCAACTAAAGAAAAATCATTCTAGAATTTTAGTAGAGGTACATTACTAAGGTTCAAAGTCACCAAGGATATATTATATCCAATACTATATAATCTTCATATTTCTCTATACTCTCTAGAGTCAAAACAACAGACTTTCATGAGCAGAAATAACCATAATAAATTAAAGAAGGATTATGTCTCCGATTAAAATTAAGATTTTTTTATTTGCCAATTTGAAGCAAATATGATGATTTGAGGCTATCATGATTTCAAGGCTTTTAGTATAAAGCTCATATAGGGAAAAACAGAACAGGACATGTTAACACAAGGAAATCAGATATACCTATATAAGGAGTGAATCAGCATTGGAAGTCCATAATTAAACAAAACTCATGGTATGACACTAGAAAAAGAGCAAATTAAAACTAAAAGCAAGCAGAAAGGAAGATGTAATAAAGAATAAGAGCAGAAATCAATAAAATTGAAAACAGAAAAATAATATAGAAAATCGAAGAAACCAAAGCTGGTTCTTAAAATACCAGTAAAATTGAGAAAACTTTAATCAGACTGAAAAAGATAAATACAAACAAGAAACAGAGAAGATACAAATTATCAACATCAGGAATCAAAGGGAACATCACAAATCCTAAAGACTTATTAATTGTATAATAAGAGGATATTAGGAAAAACTTTATTTCAATACATTTGATCACATAGATGAAATTGACAAATTCCTTGAAAGATGCAAATTAACTACCAAAGCTCACTAGAATAAAAATAATAATAATAATAACATGAATAGTCCTATGTCTATTAAAGAAATTAGATTTGTAATAAACATCTTCTCCTAAAGAAAACTCGAGACTCAGTGGTATCACTACAGGATTCTACCAAACCACCAAAGAAATTATACCAAATCTACACAAACTCTTCCAGAAAACAAGAGGAAAGAATACTTCCCAGATCATTCTATGAGGCCAATATTATTTACTCTGATATCAAAACCAAAACTATAGAATCAGAACCTTCATGAATAATAGAAACAAAAATTCTTAACAAAATATCAACAAATACAGGGTCCAGCACAAATAACGCCCCACTTTTATTACAAAATCATAAGCATGTAATTCTGTAACAATATCACACTCAAGCACATCAAATGAATTTTAGGTGAAATGTTCAAATTAAAACTATAAGTTATTACACCTATATTATTACCCTACAAACCACAATAAAGTGGGCATTATTTCTGTATAATCAATATTTAAAAAGAACAATATATCACGATCAAGTGGGATTTATCCATTTATCCCAGAATGCAAAGTTGATTCAACGTTTGAAAATGAATCAGTGTAATTCACCATATCAGTAGGCTAAAAAAACAAACCTGTTTAATTATATTAACACTTTCAGGTTCTTGGAAGTATCTGACAAAGAACATATTTTGGAAAGCAATAGTCCGTACCATCACCAAATTAATGGTATCATTATCCTAATACTTTGGCCTTTACAGGCCTATTCCTATGCTTGAGACAGGGAGTTCAGGACACCTGTTAGTTAGCTATTTGCTTCATTCAGTGAATAATTTATTATGTATCTAACTCAATGCCTGGCATTAATTTGGATGCTGGGAATAGAGCAGGAAACAAAGCTTTAAAACCGCCATACAAAACAAAGTCAAAAACCCCCGTTTTTGCCCTGGCTGGTATGGCTCAGGTGGTTGGAGCAGCATCCAGTATAACAAAAAGCTGGAGGTTCGATTCCTGGTCAGGGCACATACGTAGGTTGCAGGTTCAATCCCCAGTCGGGGTGTGTGTATGGGAGGCATCCAATAAATGTTTCTCTCTCCCACTGATGTTTTCTTTTTTCTCTCTAAAATCAATAAGCATATTTAAAAAAAACAACAAACTCCTGCTTTCATGGGGCTTATGGTCCATTCACCTATAGACACATTTACAATTTCAAGTAAAATACCCAATGCCTATTTCTTGATTTTTTTTTTTTAACTCTGCAGTTCCCTTCAGATTCTTATATATAGAGACCTCTAGGTTCATAATTAATCACTCTGCCTAAGGAAAGGCAGACTTGTGTCCAAGGCCCAAATCTTTCCCTGAGAAGGAGGTTTCCCCAACACATTCATGAAGAAAGCATTCATTACAAATAATGAAGACTTCACCAGATTGGCCAGGTATTTATACAGTGCTCATACTGTGGCAATCAGGAGTATTTTATAGTTCCTCACTTTTCCTACCGTGAAGCCAAGCTTTTATACTTGGGTGAGCCATTTTCCTGGACAAATCTCTAAAGGAAGTACCTAATACCATCACACAGGGACTGGAAACATCAACTTAGGGAAAGAACCTCTACAAGATTCACATATTAATATAAGTTAAGGAGGTAGGTGAACTAAATTTCTACCCAGTCAATATGTACAAACTATTCTGATCCTCAGATTACACTGTATTTATTTCATTCCAACTTTAGAAGACTTCATCAGTCTCCCTGACTAAAACAGAAACACTTTAGAAAGCTTTAGGAAATGAAAATCAGCTCTCCCACTAACATGCATTTTTGTCCCATCCTACAAGATGAAAAACAAATCTAGCAAAAGGCTTACACTAAAGAAAGGGACTTTGAAGTCACTTGAACCTTCTATTCTGTACTGGAATTCTTTCTATAGCATTACTAATCCACAGTCAACCATCTGAGCCCCTGTTCAGGTAAGTCCAATGACCTTGTGAGGCTACCTATCCCACCGGAGGACAACTCTTGTTAGGTTTTTGTTTATTGAACTTAAATCTGCTTCATGAAACATTCATTAAACATCATCTGCCCACTGGAATACATCAGATTAAGTGTCTTCATTTTCTTTATATTTGCCCCTCAAATACCTGAGATGAACTATCTTTATTTCCTCCCACCATTCTTCATTCAACACGGTTTCTAAAGCCTTCACAAGGCTCAATGACTATTTCTGAACGCATTCCAGTTTGTCAGTTGTCCTTCAGAACTGAAATAATTTTTTGGCTAAATACTCATCTGGAAACTGCCTATTCTATGACACGTGGCTGAATCTCATAAATGTTGTCCTTGTCTTACTTGATATTGCTACATAAAGATAATAAAAAGAATGGTTATTTCAGGATAGTCAAATAGGTAAGGAAAAGCTACATTTAAATTCCTAAATATGAATCTAGATGAAAAATGGAACTCCACATAAAAAGGTTACAGAAAAAGATGGAGGAAAAAAGACTGATATTGCTGATGTGGACAGACAAGCAGACATTTTATTCCCTAATCAAAGGCATGTAAAAACCTGAAACTCAGAGAATCTTACCAGTGTATTCCAAAACAAAATCTAGCCGTAGATTTCAGAGTAAGCATTTGCTGAAAAGGGCTCATAATCTTTCAAAATGGGAAGCTGTGCCTGCATTTTCCCACCTAAATTATACTAGAATGTCATACTTTCATGTTATTGCAAATTAAAAAATTATTATAGCAGGTGGACACTACCACACCACAAAAGATTTTTAAAATGCAAATATTAGAAACTTAGCTGAGGTCACAAGGGAATCAAGAAAAATCAGAGGCAAACTTAAGCTAAAGTGGTAAAGAAACTTTCTGGTGGTTTAATAATCCGCCAACTTTCCCTCTGCAATTATTAAAAAACACACTAGACAAAGAATATAATAGTAACCAAGTGAAACTCAATCATCAAGAAATGAATAAAAGAGCAATTCTTTTCTTTCTGTTCTCATTTCCCTTTTAACTAATTTCTGATTTTCAAATAAAATGCATTTTAAGTTTTCAGTCCAAATGCAAAAATCACAACCATTTCTTTTAATAGGGAAAAGATTTTCAAATAAAATGCATTTTAAGTTTTCAGTCCAAATGCAAAAATCACAACCATTTCTTTTAATAGGGAAAAGATTCTGGTTAATAATATTATCTAATATACCAATGATTATGAATTATCAAAAAATTAAGATGTAGAAAAGATAGCTTCCATGAACATAACTAATATTTCTTTGATGATTAAGGAGGCACTTCATAAATTTAGGGTCTCAAGAATATCATTATCACCTCATATGTATGTTATACTTTTCTATGTGTTTCTATACTTTTCAAAAGCCCCTTACAAACAAAATGCCTGTGAAATCACTGTTCACTTTTCAGAATTTATGTATAAGGAAGATTATAGAGAGAAGCCTGTATTTGGTATAGTGGGTAGAAAGACAAGCAGACATTATAAGAGGAAACTAAAAGTAGAAGTCTAAAAAATTTGAAATTCTAATTTGAATCCAACTTGTTAAAATGGTGTAAATGGCATTATTTGGTAATTTGGGCAAAACTATGATGTTATCTAGAAAATAGATAACATCTGTTGACTTGCTTTGATTAATATATAACTTATGACTGATTAGGCTTATCCAACACTCTAGCAATTTGAAAAGGTCCTTCTGTCATAATGGTAGAGAGAAACTGGTAGTACTGAAGATGACTGGAATGAAAAAACTAAATGGTCAAAGTTTAATTACTCTAATTGGTTAGAAGCATTGTTTAAAAAACAGGGGCGGTACACACCTAATGCAGAGAGGACATTCATTAATTTATAGCAACTACTATATGTCAGATAACATGTTAGGCCAAGAGTTGACTAGGAATGATACAGCTAGCAAATACGCCTCCATAGTAAGAATTATAATAAATCAAAGGGGTAGTTAATTTAAAATATGCTTATTAGTAAAATTTTAAAGAAAGTCACTACAATGACCTAGTGAAAATCACTTATGAATATGGACAAAGTAACATTTCCTTAAGAACACTGTCCATCAGAACATCTGGCCCATCTAATTCCTTAGAAGCCGTCCACGTGGCACGCCACGTAGCGAGAACCTGGAAAGCCCAGTCTTACTGGCTTGCCTGCTACTGAGACACTTCTAAGGAATCAAGTTGAGGGAACAGAGGGAATATTTCAGTCCCTCATGTTGTGCAGATCTGACTCAGAAAGCGGGTAGGGGACTGCAACACATTCTGAAGCTTTCAAAATAATGTATGAATTTCACAAAAGTAAAGTAGAAGCTTTAAAAAATCTTCTATAAGGAGCACAAGGCACAAAGTCCAAAAAGAAAAATGAGAAGAACTTAAAAGCTTTTACCCATTTACTATATTTCAAAGGTCCAGTGAATCCCATGGCTTCTATGATCTTCGTGAAGGCACCAACTTTTTCCTCAACAGGCTGTGGGAAATCCTTGGTAGTAGAAAGCTATTTAACCAAAAAGGGAACCAAAATTAGTGGCAAAAAAATGTTTTTTAAAAGGATGCTTTTGTTTCTTTAGGTGTAAGAGCATTTTTATGGGTTAGATTTTTTTTTCACCTAGAATTTTTAATTGTCACTTTTCTGGTCATCTTATCACTCAGTGCAAATACACTGGGTCATCCAAATTTAAAAACAAGACATACCCATTTCATTAACCATATGCCTATGAACCCATGCCTAGGAAATGATCAATTCTGGGTATCAGAATAAAAGTTCTACAGAAAAGAGTACTTCTAAAAGGAAATCTTGACCACCCCTGCTCCCCCGCTCATTTCCCAAAGAACAACTCTGAGAAGAGGAATGTTCTATGCTTATTGACATAACAGGAAATGAAAAGAAAAATACTGTCTGAAAACAGTCATATAAGCACTGGATAAATGTTTTTAGACTCTTGTATTTTCTTAGTATAACAAATTTTATTCATGACTATAGAAGATATAAGTCTAGAAATTTGCAAATAACCTCCAAGGAAAACCTTTTCTAATGCTAAGCCTCTCCAGGCAGGATATATAATAACCAATAAGAAATTCTCCAAAAGTTAAATAGTACTTTATTTTTAACATGTGAAAGTTTCTTAAAGACTTATTTCTCTAAAGCTTTTTCCAGGCAAGAGAGTACAATGAACGAAACAAAAGACATGGGATCAGAAGCCTTAGCAAATATTCAGCTGGTGTGTCACTTACCATCCTTGTGACCCTGGGCAAGCCACTTCACTTTCCCAAGCCTCACCTTCTGCAGTAGATAAAATTCCTTGCCTCATCCAAACAATTTTGCTGAGATTCAAAGAACACCCATGTGAGAGCACTTTATACACATAAAAAGCACTAATAATTCTCACCTTATTTGTGGTGTGATACTTCCTACTCAGCTGTATGTCTATTCCAAGAATCTGTTCGGATCCACCACATGTTAGGGACTGCCTCATCTGGGGCCACTGGGGGTTTAAAAAAATAAAAACTGATGTAAGCAACACTGAGCCTTCACTTACAAGGTTACACTAAACAGAGCTGTTTAAAAGTAAAGACTACAGAATCTTTCCAACCTTACTTATTTAACCCAGTTCCTGGTGATCTGTTCACCAAAAGGATTCAAGATTGGCTCCTAGAATGTTGTCAGGTATATTAGATGCTCAATAAATATCTGTCGAATACTTGAATAAATAAAAGGATTCGACCCTGGAACCCTGAAACTAAATACATAAGAGTTAACTCTAAGAACCAGAACTACAACAAATACCTAAATATTGGCAACAGTGTGTATACAGAGGAAAAAACCCAAAGACTCCCACATCAGTCCAATTTAAGTTTAAAATCTGTTTTTGCAACTTGCAAGCTAGATGGCTATGGGGAAGTACTGAAACTCAGCTCCAATGAGGATTGAAGGAAATAATACAGTAGTCTCCCCCTTATCTATGGTTTCACTTTCAGTGATTTCAGCTACCTATCGTAAATGCAGTCCAAAAACATTAAATGGAAAATTCCAGAAATAAACAATTCCTGAGTTTTAAATCACACGTCATTCTGAGTAGAGTGATGAAATCTCACACCTTCCCACTCCACCCCCTCTGGGGCATGAATCATCCCTTTGTCCAGCGTATCCACACTGGATACACCATCTGCCCATTAGTCACTTACTAGCTACATTGGTCCTCAGACTGCCTGTCAGTGTCACAGTGCTTGTGTTCAAGTAGCCCTTATTTTACTTAATAATGGCCCTAAACCACAAGAACGGTGATGCTGGCAATTTGGATAAGCCAAAAAGAAGCCATAAAGTGCTTCCTAAAGTGAAAAGATGACTAGAGTACTGTAAGATACTTTGAGAGAGACCACATTCACATAACTTATATTACAGTATATTGTTATAATTATTGTTTTATTAGTTATTGTTAATCTCTTACTAAGTTTATTTTATATATTAAATTTATCATAGGTATGTATGTATAGGAAAAAACATAGTATACATAGGGCTTGGTACTATCTGCAGTTTCAGGCATCTACTGCAGGTGTTGAAACATATTCCCCATGGTTAAAGGGTGACAACTGTATATGTAAAATGCCTTTTACAAAATACATCCTCAATAAAGAATAGAAGCTTCCATCATTATCATCATCATCATCATTGTTCAGATCAGAATTGCCTTCCTTTTATGTTCACACATTGCATTTGAAAGCATTTTGGCAATATAATAGCAAAATTATTTATAATTATTATGTGCCAGGTACTATGCTAAGCATCTTACATATACTACTTTCTTCAATCCTCACCATAACCCTATTAGGTTGGAATTATTATAATCAAGACCAATAAAAATAGTTTTGAAAATAAATTCCTCAGGAAACAAACTACATGCAAGAGATCCTCATTGTAGAGTGAATATGGGTAAAACTGGGGAAGAGTCCAATAAGGAAGGAGATGGTTCATTAAATTAAGGTACTCAATGGAAAATCTGGTAACCACAGAGATTTTTTAATAGACTTTATTTTTTAAAGCAGTTTTAGGTTCACAGCAAAGACAAGCAGGAAGGACAGATCTCCCACATATATATATCCAACCCCCAATACACACACCACATTCCCTATTATCAACATCCTCCACCAGAGTGGTGCACTTGTTACACACAATGAACCTACACAGGCACATCATTACCACTCAAAGTCCATAATTTACATCAGAGATTATTATTTTTAGCAACATGAAAAAATATGTATAAAATTATAGGTAAAAATATGAATGCATATGGACAAGCCTGGAAAGGAACACACTGATGTGAATAAGTTATTTTGTAAATTAGTAGAACTATGGATGAGTTTAAGAATCTAGTTTCCAAGCTTTCAATAATATTACTTTATCTTTACAATAAAAAGGGGTGGGGAGGGGACAGGAGGAGAGTCACTACTTCAACTCTGGCTTATTTCAAGAAGGCATGAGACACATGAAATGAAAATTTTTTTTTGTTAATTCTAATGAAGAAAAAATGGAATTTCTAATTGTGGAGAGTTATTGTTTACTTTTCTTTCCAAACAAGCATATTAAAAGATTAGTCAGGGTTCTTCTGGTCAGTCCCAAGGATACTTAATGCTTTTATTCATAGGTATCAAGCAAGCTTTGTAAAACACAGACTAAAGACAGAACACCTCCCATTACATCACATATATCAATGTAATAGTCCATCTAAAACACAAAGCACTTAGATGGGGTCAAAAAACGTAGCCAACAGCAATTTTAGCTTTGGGGAGAGTTCTCATCTATTAAATTACATATGGTATATACTTTTCTTTCCATTTCCTGTTATGTCAAAAGCTATGCTCCAGGAGTAACCAATGGATTCCTTCTGTGACTGTCTCACTGCCTGCTGTATTTCTGTCCTACCATTATTCATGACTTAACATTTCACACTATACTGAACTACTGAATTACCTAGGTAGCCAGTACCAAGGACAACATCTAGTTTCCTCATACCTACACACTACAAGCACACACATTTACTTTTTTGTACCCCTGTACCTCCCAAAAAGAGTCCCTTGACCTTTAAAGACATCATTTTTTCCTTCATTTAAATTTAAAAAATAGCAGTAATTTTTGTAAAAGAGAAAAATACCCTGAAATACTCAAATGTCACCTTTTTCAAAGAGGCCTGCTCTGACCATTTTATCTAAAAGAGTTTTTATTGCAATAGTTCTCTAACATAGCAGTAGTAGCCTGTTCATTTTATTCACAGTACTTGTTACGAAGTACAATTACATATTTATTTATGTGCTTGCTTATTTTCTATCACCATTACCTAAAAGATCCATAAGAGTAGGAACTGGGTATAGTACCAGGATCAAGTACAGTGCATGGTATGCAGGAAACACTCAAATATTTGTTGTATGAACAAATGAAACCACCTGTATGGTTATGTCTTATTATTTCCTTCCTGTCCTTACATTTTTTACTCATCTGACCCCTATAAAATGCCCAGGACATGTCAGCCCTTATGCAAGAATGTAGGATACAAACAGAATCCCCATCCTCAAGAAGCTCACAATCTTGAGGAGAAGGGAAAGAAGACTCACTACACAAGAAACAGAACCAAGTATCACATTTTAAAGCTCACCTACCATATACACAATAAAAGGTTACCAAGGACAGAGAGCAACTAGAACTCTCACAGACTGTTGGAGGGAGTGTAAAATAGTACGATCACTTTAGAAAATTATTTGGCAGTATCTACTGGAGGTGAATATATGCATATCCTATATGACTCAGTAATTGCATTTCTAAGTATATACCCCAACAGAAATGTGCATGTATGTTCACCAAAAAGCACATATAAGAGTGTTCATAACAGCACTATAATAAAAGCCCAAAATGGAAATAACACAACTATCCATCAGTAGAAGAATGGATAAATTAATTGTGGCATAGCCATATGATATGATACTTTATCACAATGAAAATGAATAAACTGTTACTACACAAAGCAACATGATGAATTTCTAAAACAAAGTTGAAGAAAAGCAAACACAAGGAAGTATATACCATATGTATAAAAGGCAAAACTACTCTATGGTGTTCAAAGTGAAGACCGTGGTTAACCTAGATCAGGGGTAGTGACTAGAAGGGGGTCAAGGAGGCTTCTGGGGTTCTAGTTCTTGATCTGGATGCTCATTATGTTCATTTTATAATAATTCATTGAGTTGTACGCTTAGATTTATTCCTTTTTCTGTTATTTTATTATACTTCAATAAAATGCACAAAAATACTCAATGATGTAAAGTAGGCAATGTGAAAGAATGACCTGGAATCATCAAAAAAGTGAAAAGACAAGTGAGAAGGCAGAGGTGAGGAAGCATGGTGTAATGGAAAGAGAAAACCACTGAGTCAGAAGACTTGGGCTGAAGCTCTAGCTCTTCCTATCTCATAAATTTGTTTTGAGAACTAAATAAAATAATGTAAGTTAAAGAGATGTGTAAACTATAATGCATAATATAAATGTAAAGACTGTTCCAGACAACTCCAATGATGGACTCTTTCAGGCAGCCCACTGTTAAAAAAAATAAGATTTTCACCCTTATATTTTGCTTCCCAAAATGGTTCGGAAAATTAAGAGAAATAGAAGATATTTTGCTTCCCAAAAGGTTCTGAAAATGAAGAGAACAGCAAGGGAGGGTGGGAGGAAGTGAGGGAAGGAAAAAGGGGAAAAGGAAAAGAAAAAAGGGGAAGGACTCAAGAGATTCTTGAATACCATGGGTGTGTCTGGTCCTTTTAGCAAAACTATAAGCTCCACCATGGCACAGTCTATCTTAAATTTCTTTTATTTTTGACCCAATGCTCAACACCACTCTGGGCACGGAGTCGACACTCAATAAAAACTAGGTGGATTTTTTTTTTTTAGGTAGAAGTACAACCTGGAGAAGGTCCAGAAAAGAACCACAGGAATGATCAAAGAGATGAATGAAAGGTCTAGTGGAAAGGTTAAAATGAAGTGAGGCTGTTTAACTTGGAGAAAAAGCAACTGAAGAACTAAGAAGTAACTTAGAATAACAACACTTGAGCTGGAAGAAATCTCAGAGATCTAAATCCAACCTTTTAATTTCACAGGTGAGGAAACTAAGACACAGGGAAAGGCTGCAACTTGCTTAAGATAGTTTTAGCACAAACTTTTTTTTAAAGTTTCGATTTACACAGTGAGGAGAAAATTAACCCTGGTAGCATGAACATAAATGGCAACAAAAATACTAATTACAACTTACTGAAGATTTCCTATATACCTAGTACCTCTAAGCTTAGTGTTTTACTTAGGTTAATCTCATAACAACCTTGCAAAATAGAGACTCTTTCTTTCCCCATTTTAGAAATGAGGACACTAGGCTTAAAGAAGTTCATCAAGAGGTAGAACATACATTCAGATGACTCTATATCCAGTAGCTTTCAAAACCTTTTGCAGACTTGAATAACACAGGTTCATGCACACTTAGCAACCATTCTGCAGGAAAAGAAACCAGGGCTCCTCAGAAAAATTGCTGGATCTCCAGCAAGAGCAGAGAAAATACAACATGAACCTGAAATATCCTGTGTTGCCAGAAAATAAGGAAGTATTCGAAAAATGATGAAGGCACCCTGACCAGTTCGGCTCAGTTGGGTATCATCCCGCAAACTGAAACGTCACCCCCGGTTCGATTCCTGGTCAGGGCATGTGCCTGGGTGGCAGGTACAATTCCCAGTCAGGGCACTTATGAAAGGCAGCCAATTGATTTTTTCTCTCTCACATTGGTGTTTCTCTCCCTCTTTCTCCCTCCCTTCCCCTCTAAAATTTTTTTAAAAAGCAACTTTTTTCAATGATGAAGGCATAGAGGAAGGAACTTGAAGGAACTCCCAATAGCCAAAGCTGGGGCTATTTGATCAATAAAATAAATAATGAAAATAATGAGTTATAACTCATAGAAGAAAATAAATATTTATGAGCTCTTGATATAAATAAATAATAGAATAAATAAATGGGGAAGAAGTGACAGCTCTTTCTTACCCAATCAATAAATATAGTAGTAATGAGAAAAACAGAAAATCGCCATTAAGCATATACCCCAGTAATGACTGTTGCAGTTTAGAACCAGTAACAGAATTATCATATGATGCAGTAATCCCACTTCTGGGTACACATCCAAAAGAATTTAAAACAGGATCCTTAAGAAATATTTCCAAACTTACATGCACTGCAGCATTATTCACAATAGTCAAGATGTGGAAGCAACCCAAATGCCCATCAACAGATGAATGGGTAAAGAAAATGTGGTACATATATATATAATGGAATATTGTACAACCTTAACGAAGGAAACCCTGTTACATGGTATAAAACAGATGAAACTTGAAGAAATTATGCTAAGTGAAGTAAGTCACAAAAGAGCATACTGTATAATTCCACTCATACATAGCGTGTGAAGCAGTCAAAATCATACAAACAGAAAGTAGAAAGGTGGTTGCTAATGGCAGGAGGTGGGGAGTTAGTGTTGAATGGGCATAGAGTTTCAGTTTTGCAAAATGAACCAGTTCTAGAGATCTGTTGTATAACAATGTAAATGTACATTACACTATGATTAAGGTGGTAAATTTAAAGTTATATTCTTTTAACCACACTTTTAATATTAATATTATATATGATTTTAAAAAAAGAACTGTCGATGGATGCTAAAAGTAGTGAGCAAAAATATGATCAGAAACAGAATATTTGCACAGTCTCAAAGTTATCTTCTCACATGATACTTACTAATTAAATATAGAAAAATTATAACTCCATAGTAGGGGAACCTGACAGACACCAATTTAATAACCAAGTGACCAAAGTTAATCACCAGTAATAAGACATATTGGCATCAAGTACCCTCTGACATGGTACACTGAGAAAGGAACAACATCATTTTTGCCAAAAATGTGTAATTTCAATCTAATTATAAGAAAATATTAGACAAACCCTAGTTGAAAGACAACAAAAAGACACTGGGGGGGAAAAACTAATAATACTGGGAAAAGGTGTGTTGATTAGCTAATTGTATTACATCAATTTTAATTTCCTGGTTTTAATAATTGCACTATGGTTATATAGGATGTTAACATTTGAGGAAACTTCCTGGTTTCAATAAGTGCACTATGGTTGTAGAGGATGTTAACATTTGAGGAAGCCATATGAAGGGTATATACTATTTTACAACTTTTCTGTAAGTTTACATTTTTAAAAAGCAAATCCATCATAGTATGTATGACAAACTTCAAGAGACCATTTAGAAGACAGAGGTGAGGGTAAAATGTCCCTAGTTTTTTGAAAATAATATGGTTATAGCATTTGACACTGCCTTAGAGGTTAGCTGATACTACCACACATCCAGCAAAGGATTCTTTTTTATTTTTATCCTCACCTGAGGACTTTTTTTCATTGTTTTTAAAGACAGAGGCAGGGAAAGAGAGAAATACCAATCAGCTGCCTTCCATACGCTCCCAGGGTAGGAATTGGTGCCCAGTCGGAGGATGGTACTCGTCTAGACCCAGGCTCGCACAGCCCACACTCGGACCGGGAATCAAACCCTCAGCCTTTCAGTTACAGGACAATGCTCCTGTAACTGAGCCACACTAGCCAAGGTCCAATGAAGGATTCTTTTATACCACATCCTGAACATACATTCATCAACCATTGCCTCAATTATGTCTGGCAAGAGTAAATTTACTGTGTCAAAATGCAGCCCAAACATTCCATTATACCATAATTCTAATTTACATAGTTTTTCCTCATTCTCAGCCAAGTTTGTCTCCCTGCCAGATGTGTACCTGAGAATGTTATTCTGAGGCACAGGTTTCCAACCAGGGGTTCTCAGAGATGAGAATATACTGGGTTGGTCAAAAAGTTCCTTTGGTTTTTTCCGTAAGATGGGTCTAGTAGCACTTAGTTGTCTTCAACTTCACTTGAAACAATTTTGTTAGATTGTATTGTGACAGCTGTCATATCAGTGCGTATTTAAAAAAACTTATCAAAATTGGTGAATTTTTGTGTAGCCATTTTAATACTGAAGAATGAAGATAGAAGAAAATAATCAACATTTTTGGCATATTATGCTTGATTATTTCAAGAACAGTAAAAACTCAAATAAAGATTTGTGCAGTGTATGGAGAAGGTGCTATGACTGATCAAGCATGTCAAATGTGGTTTGCTAAGTTTTGTGCTGGAGATTTCTCACCGGATGATGCTCCACAGTTGGGAACACCAGTTGAAGCTGACAGAAATCAAATCAAGACACTGAGAACAATCAATGATATCTACATTAAAGGCTATAATGGCAAAAAATTTTGGAAATAATTTTAATATCAAACAAAGGCTAAGCAAATAGAATAACATGTAGCCATTAAAAAATGCAATTATGAAATCTATCTAATAACATGAATAATATCTGCTCTAATAAGTGAAAAGGTACCAGAACATAAAATTCTGTAGATATTTGTTGAGGTACCTAAGGAAAAAACTAGTACAAACACACACAGACTAGAAAAAAAAGACAGCAGATGTTTTCAGCTTTGAAGTCATGAGTGATTTTTATTTTCTTCATTACTAAATTATTTGCATGGTTAACAAAAGTCAGGAGGAAAAAACTTTCAAGAAGGGTCCATAGTAAACTACATCACAATAAATCATGTGTCAATGGTAAATTAAGGCCTCAAATAATTCTTTGGATTTTCTGTTCACAAAAAGAAAAAACAAAGAAAGAAACATTTCTTCCCCCAAATAAAAGTGTCTATGAAAAGAAAACTGAAGAGAAGTTAACTCTGAGATGAATATCTGGAAATACTCCCAACAGTAAAAATCATCAGACTGCAGCATGGTATCCTAGGCTAAGTTCCACTGTTGGGGTATTTAGAAGCAACGCCCTAGACACCATACTGCAGGAATCAGTCCTGGGCTGCCACCACAGAGACCCAGAAGTGGTCTCATGAGGTTTTCCATCACACAATTTGGTTGGCTGATCTATAAATACATGACATTTGCACATAAACACTAAGGTTTTCATACCAACCAAAGGAACAACAAACCTTACCTGGGCAGTGCCAGACAGAGGCCTGCTGCACTGTCCCTGTGTGGGAGACAAAGGCGCCAACCAGCTGCATACTGGAACCCACTGGGAGATGCTAATCTGGTTCCTCTAAAGAAAGAAAAAAAAAATCCATCAAGGATCCATATTAGACTCAACACATAGAAGGCAAAAAGCATAAATATGTAAGTTTAAAAATCCTGGCAGAACAGGGCACGTGAAAGGAGAACATCCAGAAAAGGACCAGGATCAAGCCTCCTCATGGTTGTCACTTCAAGGATAAGCTGTACCTTACCTATTCATGATCCACAGACTGAAAGAACTCTAGTAACAGCCAACTCAAGCAGGGTACATAGGCTCCCTCTTGGGAGAAGAATAAAATAAGAAGACTTCAGGCATTTTACAATAAAAGTATCATTTAAATTGGCGTTTACAATGCCTTTTCAAACTGGTTTATGTGTTACCCATAGAATTCTTCTATAGTAAGCAGTGTTGGGATTACCATCATCCCCAAAATGATATAGAAACTAAGGCTGAAATTTTGAACTGGGAAAACACACTTGGACAAGTTCATTTCCAAGACAAAAGAGGGATTAAATGGCTGAGCTATGACTATGATTCAATTTTTCCCTCTGGCATTACTGACCTCAGAAAGGTCTCTGGGCCAAAGGGAAAGGCTAGGCTGGAGAGAGGAGGAGCTCTACCGTGCTAAATGAGAAACCTGCTTTATTTTATGAACCTGAAATATACTCCACTGTATAAATGGCATCCACTTTATGACCTATGTAAACAGCACTGGAAATCTTTGTTGTAGGAACCGACTCTGGGGGAACCAAGGATTTCTTTCACCTGACCTGTAATAGGGTCACAGTGAGGACTGGATACACAAATTATTTGAAAACAATTGGCCCACATAAACTACAATATAGGAGTCAAAGATTTGGATTCTAGTTTAAACCCAGATACCCTAATGTGATCTTTACACGAAATTTAAACTCTATGATGCTGTTTCCTCACAGCAATTATTAGTAATACAGTGATACCTTGATACCCGTTGTCAATTTTTTCCGGAACTTGGGGGGAGTGCCAAATCCAACCAGTACCTACCAATGAAGAATTATCACTTGCAGGGTGGTGTTGTGACTCATACAAGTTCTAGCAAGTGTGACGAGTTCCTAACAAGTGCCAAGTGCTGAAACGTTTTTTTCTCATCAAAATGCAACAAGTACAGGGTTTGACAAGTTCTGAAGCCAACGAGTACCGAGGTATGACTGTACTTATGAGCACTTACTATGTGCCAAGCACTTTTGTAGGTACTTGTATGAACTCATTTAAACCTCACAATCACCACTCAACAATCTAAGTATATTGTTATTATCCCAATTACATAGATAGAGGAATTGAGGTATGGATAAGTAACTTCCCAAGGGCGCACAGATAAAAAATGGCAGGGTTAGGATTTGAACCCAGGCAGCACGACTCCAGGATCCATGATCATTTACGGAATGAAAGGGTCAAGGGAATATCTCCAAAGTCCCTTCTGGCTCTAACACTCTATGATCTAGTCTTGAACCAATTAAACCACAGCATAGTATGGTGAAAAGAGCCATGTACTTGGAATCAAGAAACACTGATTTGATTCGTGGCTCCATTGTTAGTAAGCTATGAGCCTTTGTTGCTTCTTCTATAACATAAAGAAAAATCCCTGCTTCTTAGGGTTTTAAGAAAAATCATCAAATGTACCTTGCAGTATATCCAATTCAATAAATATTAAGTTGAATCTGAATCTCCGTTTCCTTTTGAGTAGGTAGGAAGGGGCAGGAGTGAGGTAAGAAATTTAAACCAAGAGATGCTTTCTAAAGTGTCTCATAGTTCTAAAACTGTACTGTTTCTAATAGGCCACTCATAGCACTTTGTTTCAAATGAAAAGTAAAGATTAAAAATATTTTATTTCAGTGGAGGTTTGATCTGTTGAGATAGTTTTCAAATGAGAAACAATTACTGGATTTTGTTAACTAATGCTGACAGGCTTACTAGAATCATTCAGTGTCAGATGTTCCTTTCCTAAAAATGTAAATATGGGATAAGATTAAACTTCTGCAGATTTAGGCCCAAAGGAGTGCGGGAGAAGTAAGAGAAAATTACAAGTAAGAACAATGAAAAATTTTGGAAGATTTTCTGAAGAATTTCATCATATTTTTTTCCGGGGTCAACAAAATTTTTCTCTGTAATTTTGGCTTTACTTGGTCTTATGCCAATATGTTAAATCAGTTCTTATTAGAAGAAAGGAGTGATCAGCTGTGTTCTTTCCTTCCCCAACCCTATAACAATTCTTGTCCAAACCCTCAACTGAAACTGCTGAGGTATAGCCGGAAGGGTGTTCGAATGCCAGGCTTGCCGTGAAATAGCTCCGTGACCCTGAACTAGTCACTCAGTTTTCTGGGCCTCCATTTCCCCTTATGTGAACTGGGAAAAGTAAAAGCTACCTCACAGGAGTGTTCCAAGGATCATCTGTAAAAGCACTTTGATAATGGCAAAACACACTCACAAAGGAAGGCATCATTATTGTAATTAACAATTGTTACCAAATTATATAAATAAGCACCTCTTTCCCCAGCAGTCGTAGCAGTAAGAACCATTTCCTTAAAATATTATTTTGAACCTGGAATTCCCTTTCTCAAAAGTTTGCATGAGGCTCCATGTACCTCCTTAGTCAAACTCACACACCTAATCTTTAACCCCCTGGACCCCTCCCCAGGCTTATTATATTTACATTCCCTACCTTTACTTTTCCACTTAGCAATTCTAAAACCTGACTCAAATTCTCTAGTTTGAGAATCACTACCTCACTCCACACAAGCTAATCCCCTGTGGTCACTTCTTCTAGGACCCTCTTCTTCACCAAAACCATGGGCTCACTTGCTTCAAGGAGTCTCCCTAGACTCCAAGTTCTGGTTCTGCTGACTCTATTCAATTCTTTTTTCCTTTCCTCCTATTGCAATATTTAATTTAATAAATATAAACCTGTGGAAGTACTTCTCTCCCTCTTATAGGTATTAATACATTCCCAGTTAAAATTATTGCTCTAATTTAGGATAATATATACACCATTACTAAGTAGGAGTTTTATTGTCTTTTGCCTCGCCAACACTTCAAAATCAAAATTTTAAAGATAGGTTTCATGTCATTTCCTATGCATATTATAAAATTCATGTGATTTTATTTATATTTCAAATCATTCTGACAGCCAGCTCTTATTTTTACTATAATCGGTCCACTAACCAATCTGTTTCTGCATGTAGTTTTTAAGATACATAATGTTTACTTTGGCTCACTCATGAGCTGGAAAAGGTTTTACAGGTAGTCAATTCTCCTATTCCCTACAGTTATATTTTATAAAGTGACCACAAGTAGAGTTAGCAAATACTGAACCATTGCTCCTAAGGGAAATGCAGAGTTAGGTTCCTGCAAGCCTCCATTCACAACATTTTCATCAGCCAATCAATACATAGCTTTGTTTTATGTGTTTCTGCTTAAACATAACTTATTTAATATATATTATTGATTCACTAACATTGAACTCACAGCCAACAGCAAGTGCGGTAACTCACTCCTGAACAAAACTTATCTAACATACAAATTTTCTCCACAGTAAACATCACAGCCTTTTTGCACTTTGTGTCATTAGCACTTACCACTACACTTGGGGGCCATTTTAAGGAGGGAAATCACCAAAAAAAGCACAAAAATGCAAATAAATAAATAAATAAATAAATAAACCCCCCAGCACTAAACAGACCATGAAAAGGATGCTTGTTTACAGTCTAAGAGCTGAAACAAGAAATAGAGTACCACCTTGTTCAACCTCAGCAAGAAACATGTATGTTGTAGCTAAAATTTTTCACCTCTCTGTACATGTCCACAAATGACTACAAAATCTCCATGAGTATTAATTTTGGACTACAGATAAAATTTAGCAAGTATCACCCTGGCAGGTATGGCTCAGTTGGGTGGGCTTCATCCCAAAAACTGAAAGGACACCAGTTCGATTCCTGGTCAGGACATATGCCTGGGTTGCAGGTTGGGTTGCAGGCTTCGTGCTCCGTCTCAGGTGAGGGCACCTGCAGGAGGCAACCAACTGATGTTTCTCTCCCTCTTTTTCTCTTTCCCTTCCTCTCTTTATAAAATTTAAAAAAAGAAACTTTTTTTTTAATTTAGCAAGTACAGTAGTCCCCATTATCTGCAGAGGATTCATTCCCAAACCTCCTGTGGATGCATGAAACTGCAGTAGTACCAAACCCTATATATACATTTTTCCCTATACATACCTACCATTTCACTTAAAGGAAGCACTTTATAGCTTCCCTTTGGAGTATCTGAATTACCAGCATTGCTACTCTTCTGCGTTGGGGTCATCATCAAGTAAAATAAGGATTACTTGAACACAAGTACTAAACAGAAAAACAGTAACAAACTCTGGGAAAGGAAAAAACTGATTTCCATAGATGCCACATTATATTATTCGAACAAAAATTTATGAAACACATAAATAAATTAAAAACAAAAACAAAAAAACCACATTGTCCATACATAGGGGAGAAAATCAATAGAAACTGTCCCTGAGGAAGCCCAGACATTAGACAAACTATGACAAAGGTTTTGAACCAACTATTTTAAGTATTTAAGATCTAAAGGAAACCTTATCTAAAGAACTATAGAAAAGTATGAAAATAATATCTCACCAGATAGCAAATACCAATAGAGAGAAATTAAAAATAAAAATTCTAGAGTTGAAAAGAACAATTTTAAAAAACCATTTCACTAGATGGGTGCACAGCAGATTTGAGCAAAGGAATCAGTGACCTTGGGTCAACTGAGAACATCCAACCTGAATCACAGAAAGAAAAGAACAATAAAGAAAATTTAACAGGGCCTCAGAGACCTATGGAATACCACTAAACACACCAACATATGTATAATGGGAGTCTCAGAAGGACTCAGAAGAGGAGAGAAATAAAAGGACAGAAAAAAATAATCGATCTGTGATAGTATCAACAATAAAGTGTTTTAAAAATAACAATAAAAAATAAAATAAGATATTTGAAGAAATA